TATTAAATATACTTATTATATTATGCTACCACTGATGTGGTAACCATATTGCTGAATTTAGGGATCAGCAGTGAGATCTTCGGAATAGAAAATATTGAGTTACAAATTAGTTTGCACTGCTTTTATTTTGAGAAACTTTTTTTCTATTTAGATTCTTTCATGTGTAAGAAGAAAAATTGGAAACTTTCCCATCTTGGTATGTCCCAGTTAATGAATCATATTAGAAACAATTTCAAAAAACATTCATTTATTCATTCTTTCAATAAACAGGCAGTAAGTACGTATTTGGCTCATGCCAGGCACTGTGCTAGGCACTGGGGTTACAGATGAAGTGGGAACAGACCTTGCCATTGAGGGCCACAGTCTAATGAAAATAGATAAGCAAACAAAAAAATTGGTGCAAAACAGAGGACTGTAGTTAATTCTTACTAAATGTATCAGAGTAGATGATTTTTGAGCTGTCTTCAACGATGATAAACAGTTTGCTTGATGGGCAAGAGAAGAAAGGGTACTCCAGGCAGAAGGAACAGGATTTGCAATGATACCAGAGTGTAAGAAAGAGCATAGCAAGAACAGGCAACAATAGTTGCTTAATGTGGCTGGATCCTGGGGGATCTCTGGGAGATGAGGCTGGAGGGGCAGGCAGGGTCCAGACCATGGAAGGTCTTGACCCCTGCTAGGGAATTTAGGCTTTATCAAAGTCAGGAGAAACGGAAGGGTTTTAAGTAAGGAAGTGAAACGGTCAGATTCACATTTTAGGAAGATGGCTTTGGTGGCAATGTAGTTGGAGTAAATGGGGCAGGATTGGAGACCAGTGATTAGGAGGTTACTACAAGGGTTTGGGCAAGAATGATGATTACTCACACATATTGAGTGCTAATCATGTGTCAAGCACTTGACATGTTAACTAATATATTTTTATTTGTATTATTATTTTTTTTTTAGATAGGGAAGGGATAGGCAGAGGGAGAGAGAGACAGAGAGAGAGAGAGAGAATATCTTAAGCAGGCTCCATGCCCAGTGCAGAGCCTAACATGGGGCTCTATCTCAAAACCCTGAGATCATGACCTGAGCCAAAATCAGGAGTTGGATGCTTAACCAACTGAGCCACCCAGGTGCCCCTTTACGTTATCTCATTTAATCCTCACACCTCACATTGATCCTATAAGATAATATATTAGGATGGGTTAGGTTATGCTGTGACAAGAAACAACCCCAAGGGATGCCTGGGTGGTTCAGTTGGTTAAGCGTCAGACTCTTGATTTTGACTCAGGGTTTTGAGATTGAGTCCCACATCAGGCCCCATGCTCAGTGTGGAGTCTGCTTGAGATGATCTCTCCTCCCTCTGTCCCTTGCCTCCTCCCACTGTACCCCACTCTCTCTCTCTCTCTCTGAAATAATTTTTTTTAAAGAAACAACCCCCAAATAATTAACCAACATTATTTAAAACAATAAAAATAATTATTTGCTCATGCCACACGTCCCATGTAGGTTGGCCAGGGGGCAATGCTCCTCATAGTCACACAAAAACCCAGAGTAAAGGGAGTTTCATTTCAATACATACCTCATAACTTCAAGACAGGATCATCATAGCAGTGGGAAGTGAATGTGGCTTATTGTCTCTGGGCTCGGAAAGCTTCTGCCCAAGTGTCACAGAGCCATAGTCAACTCCATAGCCAACTCCTTTCCAGGGAGGCAAGGAAGTGCAATCCTACCATGTGCTCAAAAGGAGAATCAGGAGTATTTATTTATTTATTTTAAAGATTTATTTATTTTAGAGAGAGAGATGGGTGTGCATGGGTGGAGAGAGTGACAGAGAGAGAGAAGCAGACTGCTTACCAAGCACAGAGCCTGATGTGAGGCTCAATCCTCAAACCCTGAGACCATGATGTAGGCCCAAATCAAGAGTCAGATGCTTAATTGACTAAGCCATCCAGGCGCCTCAAGAATCAGGAATATATAGACACTAGCACTAGCTACTATCATTTCCTAGTTCTGAGTAGGAAGTAAAACCACACATTTCTGACCTCCTTTTAATGTGACTGTGTGACCTAATGTAGCCAATGAAATGGTGGAAGCTTTCAGAATTAGTGGTCTTTAAGAACTAAGAACTAGAATATAATTTGTCAGATTCTTGGCTTTTCCTCTGCCATGGTGACTGTCAGTATTCCAAATGGTGGTGCTTCTTTAGTCTGGATTCCAGAATAACAATAGATAGCAGAGCCCCATTGACTTCCAGTGGGCATGTAATATGAGGTGCAGTTGTTGGTCACTGAGGTTTGAAGGATATTTGTAACTGTAGCATCTTAAAAGTCTCCACAAATAAGTTTTTTAAAAATTATTATTCCCATTTTACAGATCAAGAAACTGAGATTCAGAAAAGTCAAAGAATGTGCCCAAAGTTGCACCTAATAGGTGGCGTAAAGCCAAAATTCAAACCCAGGCAATCTGACTCCTGAAACTGAGCTTCAAACTAGAGCTAGCAAGAGCCTGACTTAAAGCAGCAACAGTGGAGATAACAGTGGGACTAGTTTAATGACATTTAAAAAGTAGTATCAAGATCTCCTGGATGATGATACCAGGATGGGGGAAAAACAGGTGTCTAGAATGATTCCGTTTTCTGACGTGGAAAAGGAAAGAGATGGTGACCAGTAATTCAAATGGAGAAGAGAATGGAGTGAGAAGGTATTAAATCTGGAATTAGACTCTTTTAGCACTTCAAAGCGGTCATGCCATTGTCTTCTGTTCTCTCTGGTTTCTCATAGCAGTTTGATTATTTCCACATATTGTTGCCCTATATGTTATGTGTTATTTTTCTCTGACTACTTTCAAATTTTTCTCTTTATTTATTTTTTTATTTTCTAGCAATCTGACAATGGTGGACCTAGGTATGTTTTTCTTCATATTTATATTGCCTAAGGCTCACTTTTTGGATTTGTGAAGTTGATATTTTCGTCAGATTTGCGATGTTGACCATTATTTCTTTGATTATTTTCTGTCCTATTCTTATTGTCTTCTCCTTTGGGACACCAATTACATCATGTCTGATACTGTACCACAGGTCTCTGAGGATCTATTCATTTTTCTTCAGGGTTTTTTTTCTGTTCTTCACATTGTATAATTTTTATCAATTGAATGTTATTTTTTTAAAAATTTTATTTATTTATTCATGAGAGACAGAGAGGAAGAGATACAGGCAGAGGGAGAAGCAGGCTCCATGCAGGGAGCCCGATGTGGGACTCGATCCCTGGTCCCCAGGATCATACCCCGGGCTGAAGGTGGTGCTAAACCGCTGGGCCACCAGGGCTGCCCTCAATTGAACTTTAGAGGATTCTTCTGGAATTTTCCTTCTCCTGTCTCCTGTTAAAACCCTTAGAGAATTTTGTGATTATTTATTTATTTATTTATTTATTTATTATTTTATTATTTTTTAAATATTTTATTTTATTTATTAATGAGAGACACACAGAGAGAGATACACACAGGCAGAAGGAGAAACAGGGTCCCTGCAGGGAGCCTGATAAGGGACTCAGTCCCAGGACCCCAGGATCATGACTTGAGCCAAAGTCAGATCAACCACTGAGCCACCCAGGGGCCCCAAGAATTTTGTTATTTTATTTTGAAAGTTTCAAGAATTTGCATTTGCTTATTTTTGTATAGTTTATATTTTTCTTCTGAGATTCCTTATCCCCTATTTATTTACTCATTAAGATCACACTTTCCTTTATTTTGAACACATTTGCCTTTAATTATTTGAAAATACAATAGCTGCCTTAATGTCTTTGTTTACTAAATCTAGTATCTGAGTAATTTTAGGGTCAGTTTCTAATGTCTACTTTTGTTTTCTTATTTTTGCGCTTGTATAATAATTTTTCATGGTAACACCAGAGGATAAAGGTGATAAATTATAGAAATTTTAGACTCTGGATTCTGTTGTCTTCCTTTAAAAAATTTTAGTTTTTGTTCTAGTAGGCAGTTAATCATTGGTTGCTCACTTTGAACTTATGCAGGTTTTTCTTTTTTCTTTTTTTTCCCACTTTGTTAGGGTAGATCTTCAGAAAAGCTCCTCTAATTTAGTGTGCTCAATCTTCAAACCATTTCCCCTGTGGATCTTGTCAAGGCTTAGTTTTAGGCATAACTAGGGCAGACCTAGGACAATAGGTCTTCCTCCAAGACAGTGACTCTTGAACTGTAGCATGTATCAGAATCATCTAAAGAGCTTGTTAAAACACATTTCTGGGCTCCTTCCTCCAAGTTTCTGATCCAGTAGATCAGAGGTGGGGCCTCAGAATTTGCATTTCCAGCAGCATGTCTAACAAACTTTCAGGTGCTGCTGCTGGTGGTTGAGGAACAATTATCCAAGAACTATTGCTCTAGAATATGGTCCTTGCTTTTTTTTTTTATTATTTATTTATGATAGTCACAGAGAGAGAGAGACAGAGACATAGGCAGAGGGAGAAGCAGGCTCCATGCACCGGGAGCCCGACGTGGGATTCGATCCCGGGTCTCCAGGATCGCGCCCTGGGCCAAAGGCAGGCGCCAAACCTCTGCGCCACCCAGGGATCCCTGGTCCTTACTTTTAAAACATGTTTTATCTAGTGTCCTAGCTGATGCCTAAGGTATTATTAACAAAATATTAATATGGCTTTCCAGTTAGGCTGAGCCAAAACTCTGATCACCTCTATTACTGCTTGAACTCTAATATCCCTGTTCACTCTTCAACCCCATAGAAGTCAGAAGAGGTTATACAAAATCATAAAAGTGGAGGATCAAAGATAGAATCTTGGGGGCACTGCCAATTTTTCATTGGTGGATGAAAGAGGCATATAAGGAGTGATCCAAGAAGCAGAAGAGCCCCATCCTGGAAGTCAATGGAGAAGAATTCTAAAAAAATATCTTGAATTCTTACTCCTCCATGTGCTAAGAGGTTCACAGAAAAAAAAATTAATATATTTCAAGCAACCCAATAATTTAGTACTATTATCAATCCCATTTTATAGATGAGGATGAAGATGAAGAACCTGACCGGTTAAGTAACTTGCATGATGTCGTGCAGCTGGTAAGTGACAAAACAGGACTTGAATCCGGGAATTCGGGCTCCAATACTCAAAATCCCCACAATGTGCTGCCTCATTCCAAAAATAGGAGACGATGACAAATGCCATCAGGCTGCCCAGGACAGAAGAGTGCCCATGGGATTAGGTACTAGGGCCACCAGTGAGCTCAGCAAGAGCTCACTGTAGTAAACAGTAGGTGCTAATTAACTGTTCAATTTTATCAGTTCCTGGGCTTAACCCTTTGTTTGAGCCAGCAGAGTCCACACACGTGGCATCTCCTAGCCCCTGCTTGCCTTATCTTCCTCCTCAGAAACCTGTTCCAGGTTTCTGCTCAGCAAGAGGAAACTCACTCCCCAACTGCGTTCAGGGAAGGGAAGATCTGTGCTTCAAGCTCCTAGGGGAGTGAAGAGAAGTGGGAGGTAACTACTTATAACTCGCTAACTGTGCCCAGGCACAGATTTACATGCATTGGAACATATCATCAACTCAATTACCTATGCTCAGATTAGCTTTAGCAAGTCTTTAAGCTCTCACAGCTGTCTTCAGGTGTTCAGGGGATTATTATGGGGAGATGTTGATCAGCTGTTCTCCATGGCTCCTGGGGGCAGAACAAAAGAAAAGAGGCTTAAATGTCAGCAAGGGATTTAGATGTAAGTGAGAACTCTGTGAGGCAGGGAGGTCCTGTGTACCCAAGCAAGGGTTTCCAGCCTTTCTGTCGTATTTAGCCTAAATATTCCCTTCCCCACCACACTACCTCTTCCTTTGTTTTCTGACAAAAGAGACAAAAACAATAACAGCAAGTTCTTGTGTAGTTCTTACTTCATGTCAGGGACCATTATGGAGGTTTTTACTCATAGTCACTCTTCCAATATTCACCACAACACGATGAGATAAGTACTATTGCCGTCCCCATTTTATAGGTATGAAAACTGAGATATAGGGTGAATAACTTGCCAAAGGTCACACAGCCAATAAATGGTAGAGCCAATATTTGAAGCTTTATCCCTAAGTCCACCCTCTGAACCACTACCCTGTACTGTTAATCTGTATGTGTGGCACTAGAACAGAATTTAATATCAGGCAAAATAAGGGAGAAATTCTAGCTGGCAATTTGGCATGGAGGCTGTTGCAGATTGTTACAAAATGACCCTAAGTGATCCACGCCTCCTTGAATTTATGCCTATGTATAGTCCTCTTCCACACTGAATCTGTGCCATTCCAGTGACTGGCTTGGCCAACAGCATGTGATGGAAACAACTTTCTGGGACGTCATACTCAGGCCTTAAGAGGTCTGGAGCTTCTACTTTCTCTGTCAGAACCCAGCTGCCTTGTAAAGGACACTCTGTCTACATGTAGAGAGGACACATGTAGAGAGAAGACTTGGAGGCTGAGAGGCCATGTGGAGAACAACAGAGGCACCTCAGCTAAGAGCCAGAACCAAAGTGGTAAATGAAGCCATCTTAGATCCTCTACTCCCAGCTGGATTGTCCCAGGAGACACCACACAGGCCAAGATGGGGTGAACTTGCTGAGCCCTGCACAAATCCTAACTCTAAAAGGGTTGTGGTTTTCTTTTTTTAAAGACTTTATTTATTTATTTATTTATTTATTTATTTATTTATTTATTTATTTATTTATTTATGAGGGATTGAGAGCACAGTGAGAGAAAGAGCATGAGTGGGGGTGGGGGGCAACAGAGGGAGAAGGAAAAGCAGGCCCCCAGCTGATCAGGGAGCCTGATGACGTGGGGCTCCATCCCAGGACCCCAGGACAATGACCTGAGCCGAAGGCAGACACTTAACCAATTTAGCCATCCAGGAGCCTCAAGGGTTATGGTTTTAAGTCACTATTTCCTTTTTATTGTGGTGAAATACACATAACATAAAATTTATAATTTTAACCATTTTTAAGGGTATAGTTCTATGGCACTAAGTGGATTTGCATTGATGTGCCATCATCACACCATCCCATCTATCTCCAGGAATTTTTAATCATCTCAGACTGAAACTCTGTCCCCATCAAACACTGTTCCTTCCCGCCCCTGGTAACCACTATCCTACTTTCTGTCTCTATGAATTTAAGTCAATAGGTTCTAAGGTAGCACCATATAACCTCATAGAGATGCTGACAGATTTAATAATCTGCTTTTAGAACATATTAATGTGTTTCTTAGTTTATTAAATACCAGAGAGTTATATAAATATCAGGAACCCTCCCAGAGCTTCAGTTTGCTGTGTCATTTGTACCTGTAATTCTAATGGTGTCGTGGCCTATAGTGTTACAGGTAAAATTATAATTATACCTAACATTTACTTTGAAGTTGAGAAGGCAGTTTCACACTTAATGTATCACTTGCCTTTCACAATAGCCTTGGAGGTAGAATTAATGTTTTCCCTTTTATAGATCAGGAGATTGAGGATCAAAGGTTTTAAGTGATTTGGTCAAGGTCATAGCATTGATAGAACAGGTTGGTCTGCAACCATTTTTTGATCACGCCTGCTGCGTAAGGGAGATGGGGGGCGAGGTATCCAAAAGATAATTCAGCAGTTTGAAAAAGGAGACACAAGCCTGTTCCTCAAACCACAGCTGCTTGCCTAGGACACACCCATGGATATGCCCACAGGAGAATCCTTTGATCATGCTGACTACCAACCAAGATGGCACCCAATGAAATGTTTTATAGGGTGTGGCTGGGTCTATTTTAAGAAACAAATATGTTCGGCTGTAGTTTGGGCAGGAATAGCATGACGAGGCAAGCCAGGGACATCCCCATTGAGTAAAGCCACAGAATCATGCTCATTCATAAATCAATTCAGTGGGTCACAAACAATATATTTTTTAAATAAAATAGAACAGAATTCATTGAAGTAGTAAGGACAAGTATTTTTCTGAGGAATTTATTTCAGTAATATTATATACATATACTTGTATCTTCGTAGTCATGTTATTTGGGATTTGGGTCACAACATCAAATCTATTTCCTACCATGGTGTGAATGCTTGAAAACCACTGCCCTACCCCAATTCTTCCTCAAAGTTCAGAAGCATTCTGCAGTCTCTAGTGGAAGTATAGCCCGTCTACCTGCACTGGCCTTGTGCAAACAGTAGAAAAGAGACAGATACCATTTTAGCACAAGGACAACACTCCAGAGGCTGGTTTGGAATGGCTGAAATTGTCATTTGTAAAATTTTGTCAAGTGCCCAAGGTGATTTTATGACATGGAGATGTAGTGATAGGATTCTAAAAGCAATGGATTAGTCAGGGAAACCGAGCTTCCACCCCCTTGTTCTCCTTCAAACACCTATAATTCCTTGAGATTTTCTCAGCTTCATTCCCTCATCTCTAGCAAGAGGAATGATCAGACCAAATTATCTTTGGGGAAAGTTTTCAACCAAGAGAAGGAGTGCTGATAAGATTTAGGCTACTGTCTACTCATTTTCCCAAGGAGGGGCACTGAGATAGGGAATGCAGACGGAAAGTCTTCTGTCTCTCTTTTTTTTTAAAGCGAGTCCAGTTTTTTGTTTATATGTTTCCCAACATGGATAAGGATAGACAAACACTCTTTGAAAGATAACTAATGTACATTTCTGGTTTGAGGCTGAAGACTTACCTTGAGTACCCCATCCAGGTCCAGGTATCTACAATCGTGAAACTTACATCATTTTAGTTTCATGAATTAAACAATAAACTATAATTGTCTAGGTCCAGGGTATGATGGTAAAGTCACAGCATCTCGGTCACATATGAAATTTCCTCCCTGTTATTCAGCCATGTGCATAAGAAGGCAGTTGAAATTCCTTAAGAGGTAAAAGCACATGAGTGTGGTGATTCTTTCCCCTGAGTTGAGAAAACATGAATTCCTTGGTGGCTGGATTTTGATCCTAGAGCCAATGCCGAGGGAGGGCCTGGGTCAGTGACCACTGGTTCCTGGACATTAAGAAAGGCTCCATAGCAGAAAAGAAAGCCCAGACATTGCCAACAACCATTGTATAAAAAGAAAAATGAGTCGTTGAGTCTCAGCAATAATGACTCTGCTTCTGCCAATGTCAGCAGGGAGACAGGTGCAGAGAGCTCTGAAGAGCCCTTCCAAACCCTTACACGTGACCCAAAAAATGCCCCAGAAGCCCAAGCTCCTTGACATGCTGAGCTGAATCTGGAGTGTTTCCAGCTATATTCAAATGGGTCTGGGAATGACATGGGAACTTAGCAGCTTTGTTTGCAACTTAGGAGTAGAAATTGTTTTTCATCAAACAGAAAATATCCTTGTCTATTTGAATTTCAAACAACGTAATGCTGTTTGGGGACTGCTATAAGAAAATTCATTCTCATTGAGGAAACTCCGCGTCTTGTACAATTTAGGGAGAGAATAAAGGAATTGTTCAAACTGCTTCATTTCTATTTTCTCATGGTATAGAGAAGTTTATGTGATTTAATGCCTTTTTTTCATGATAATTTTTGAAGAATATATTCAAACAAGATGCCATTTAGTAGACTTGGATATTGCCTTAACCCTCTGGAATGACAAAAAGCACAGATTGGCACAAATCGAAGAGGAAAGTAAGAAAAGATTTATTCAAGGGCAGTGAATTATATTATTAGGCCAGTGACTCCCTTCCACCTACCCCCCCAAACTAACCCCATGCCCAGCTTATCTGAGTAAACCAAAGGAAATTTAATCTTAGCCTCTACTATATATTCAGTACATTCCGGCTGACATTTCAGACCCTGTTAGAAATCTGGTTGGCTTCCAAGCACATGCAATACTAGAATGAAGAAATAGTATAGATAGCTATCTCATTTTTCTTTCTCTCTGAAACATTGACAATGATTCTTTGTAGAATGTCTCAGGACATTCAAGGAAGTTATCCATAAACATTTTGCAGAAATCTGTCAAGAGCTGATTATTGCAATTTATATTATATGGATACTTCATTCCACAGGCATTGCAAGATTAAAACATGCTGGGAAGACAATGGAGGCTATAGGCTGCCAAACACATGAACAACCAGTAGTCAAGAGGCAGGTTTGAAGTGTGGTATTTTCAGCTCTAGAGGACAGAATGGTGACCTTAGATGACACAGGCAGAACCACCAGACACACACCAATCCCTTCCCAAACACACCACATATTAACCAATAAAATGGGCGAAACCAGTAACTCCATCTGGTTCCTCAGAAATCCTTACAAATGTGCCAGTTTCTGTGGGATATGCCACATGAGAGTTCCCTGCTGGGCAAATAGGAGTATCACAGACACTTGAAATTCATACATAAACTCCAAGCCTATATTTCAGCAACTTAGTTTTCCTCCTCCATTAGCAGTTGCAACCAATGCCTCCACTGTAGGCAGGACTCCACCCTTGTCCCTGTCCCCATCCTACAGAGTCATGAAGTGTGTGAATAAAGACGCCAAGGCTAGTGGCCCAGTCCCAAACTGAATGATCGCCCTTTGGAAAGTGAACCCTGGAGTGCAATAAGAAGGCTTTGTCACACAGCACGGCAGGTTTGCCTGCTTCTCAGAATCAACAAACCACGGCAATGTGAGATGTTTTACTTGGTAAGTCTCAAGTCCTTTTACTGTGTGGGAGAGACATCTAGATCATTTCATTCTACTTGCTATAGTGGTTTTTTTTTTTTTTTTTTTTTAAGATTTTATTTTTAAATAATCTCCATACCCAACTAGAGGCTCAAACCCATGACCCTGAGATGGAGGGTCACTTGCTCCACTGAGTGAGCCAACCAGGCACCCAGGTACATAAGAGTTTTTATTTGGGCTCTTACCTGTGGCCACCTACTCTTTCTCCCAGAAATAGTAGACCAGTCTTGCCATGTCTCTTAATCACCAGAGTAGCCTCGTGTTTGCAAAAGACAAAAGAATACTAGGTTAAAGTCTCATACTCTTCAACAAAGGTGATGACATTTTCTTTTATAACACTGCACTCTTCATGTCAATCTTAATTAAGCTATTTGCTTAGGTTAAAATGATATGAAGTACATTTAAAAGCATTTCTGGATGCACACATTTAAAGTAAGCATTATATATATGCTTATACACACACATACATAAAATCAAAGCAACCATTTTTTTAAAAAGTAAATTCCTTTTGAGAGCCATAATTTCAACTAGTCACCATGATTGTGCGAATCCACCTTTTTTTCAGAGACGATCATTTAAATGACTAAAGGTACTCAGTCTGTCATGCCATAAAAATACATTTATAATTGAATATCTCCCTACAGACAATAGTGTGCTAATGGTTCCCATAGAAATGCAAAGCCCAAAAATGCATTGATGTTCTTTTCCTCACCTCTGTTGAACTTGCCTTTCATTACTGGGTGAAGAGAGATCGCGCTTTCATTTGGTCAGGCATTTGAGAGATGCTGCAACTAGGTTTCTGTTCATAGCAATCTCTACGTGGGAATAGTATTATATCGTTCAAAAAGTATGCACCTATTATTGCCTCATGATCCCCACAACATCCTTGAGGCTGAGCAGAGCAGGAGTGATTTTTCTGTTGACAGATGGGAAACTGAAGCCTGTAGAGGTTTAAGTTACTTGCTTGAGGCTATGGTCAAGCATCAAGTCACAAACTAGGATTCAAACCCAGACCTTCTGAGCCCTAATTCACACTGTTTTCTTTTCTCTGTGCTTAAACAATAACAACAACAACAACACACAGAAAGAAAGAAAGAAAGAAAGAAAGAAAGAAAGAAAGAAGAAAGAAAGAAAAAGAATGAAAGAGAAGAAAGAAAGACAGAAAGAAAGAAAGAAGAAAGAAAAGAAAGAAGAAAGAAAGAAAGAAAGAAAGAAAGAAAGAAAGAAAGAAAGAAAGAAAGAAAGAAAGACTGGTACTTTTAAGCCAGGTTAAAAATCTCACTTGCTTGGTTCCCCCTTTAAAATCTTAAAAGAGGGCAGCCTGGGTGGCTCAGCGGTTTAGCGCCGCCTTCAGCCCAGGGCCTGATCCTGGAGACCTGGGATCGAGTCCCACGTCAGGCTCCCTGCATGGAGCCTGCTTCTCCCCCTGCCTGTGTCTCTGCCCCTCTCTCTATTTCTGTGTCTCTCATGAATAAATAAATCTTAGAAAAATAAAATAAAATCTGAAAACAATAAATAGCTCACCAGGTGAATTTGACATATATGACACCTCCATGTTACAACCTCTGGACACTCAACCAGAGATTGGCAGTCTATGCACTGAATGACCAGGATGGAGTATATGGGAGACAATTTTATGGTCAGGCACCAGCTGGCCTGTGTGCATCCGTAGAGAAGTTTCAAAGCTCTACAGTGGGGCTGCAGCCACCAAATGTCCCCCTGCTCCCCATCTACCTCATGGTTCCCAGTCATTCTGGTCTGCTCCCTCATTCTCTAGCACAGCACAAGAGTGGGGGAGAAAATAGCACTGGAAAGAGTTGGTACTGGGTGAAGGGTTGGCACAGCTGCTTGTAGATACTTGAGGTGGGGAGAGAAATAGAAGATGGGAGATTGGCCACAATTCTTGGAACCTTCCTTAAGGGAGGGTGATATGAAAGCTTTTGCACAAAGTAGCAGAACATGAAGTGCTGGTCCTGGTTCCCCAAACTATAGTCAGTGAGTTAGGGAAGAAGTTAGAGAGGCCATCAAGTCCAGCCTTCCTTCATTCATTCTTCTGTTCATTCCACAAATAATCACTGAACATCTATACTGCTGAGGATATATCAGAGAACAAAGCAAAGACCCTGCCAGCATGGAGTTTACATTTTCCTGGGGCTGAGAAACATTAAGCAAATAAATAAATAGCACATCAGCTATGATAAATGCTGTGGAGAACAGAAAAGCAAGGTAAGAAGAAAATGGACCCTTGAGGGGTAGGAGAGCCAGGAGGTACTATCTTATATATGTTGGTTAGGGACTGATAATGACATTTGAACAGAAACTTGAAGAAGCCATGGGGATATCTGATGGAAGAGAGGACACAAGTGCAAAGACTCTGCTACAGAGAATGAATGGCATGTTTAAGGACCAGCTCGGATGCTAGTGGGGTTGCTAGCATGGCATAAGGGGGAGATTTGTAGGAGAGGTGGTCAGAGAGACTGTGGGGCCCAGACCATATGGGGTCTTGGAAGCAAGTGTTAAGCTTGAGTGAGACAAGAACCTTTAATTGGAGAAATGACAGGATCTGACTTTTTAGAGTATCCTTCTGGCTGCTGTGTTGGAACACATCTCGGGGCTATGTCATGGAACATGATGAAAATCTATTTCATTCTTAAAAGACCCTGTACATGATTCAGTTACCTTCCTATTTTCCAGTTTGTTTTCTATGCTTCCCTCTCTAGACAGGTTTTCATCATTGGTTTTATTTTCCATCATCGGATTCTTTAAAATTGTCTGATCTTGCCATCATCCCTTTTCAACCCTCAACTTAACACTTTCCAAATGGTTTTCACTTGCACTTAGGGGAAAGTTCAAACTCCATCCTCTGTTGTAAAAGGTCCTGTAAGATTGAGTCCCTGCCTGTATCTCTCTGCATGTGCTCTCCTCTGTGTTCCTCTTCCTCTGTAGTCATGGTGGCTCTCTTTCGGTTCCTAACCCCAGATAAGTTCTTTTTCCTGATACCTTCTCCCTATGTCTGTGTGGTTCACCCTTGCATATCTTGTGCTCCAGAAATGTGTTGGATTAGTTAATTTATCAATCAAATGCGGTACCCAAATAAAATGAAGTCACCTCAGAATCCACTGTTTGAAGTTATTTCTGTTTTGGAAGTAAGCTTGGGATTCACTATCACTGAAATTCCACTCAGTATGATTTTATAAAGTTTTATTTATTCAAGTAATCTCTACACCTTACGTGGGGCTTGAACTCATGACCCTGAGATCACATGATCCTCCGAATTAGCCAGCCAGGCACCCCATTCAGTATTATTTTAGATTATGTGAATATATTTTGTTATAAATACATGTGATTTAATAAATTACACACATTTTGGAATAACTTTCCTAGATGTTATCATTCTAATTCACCTTCCCACATCATTGCAGCATTACATGAAATATCTTGTTAAATGCGGGGCTCCTGGGTGGCTCAGTTGGCTAAGCACCTGCCTTGGGTTCAGTTCATGATTCCTGGGTCCTGGGATCGAGCCCTGCTTCAGGATCCCTGCTCCAAGGGCAACCTGCTTCTCCCTCTCCCTCTGTCTCTGTGTGGGCTCTCTCTCTCAAATAAATAAAATCTCCTCACTGAGCAGAGAACCCAACATGGGGCTCAATCACAGAACCCTGGGATCATGACCTTAACCCAAAGCAGATGCTTAATGGACTGAGCCACCCAGGCGCCCCAAAGAGTTGTGCTATTTAATATGTTACCCCAGTCACACATGTGGTTTCAAATTTTTAAATTTTAAGTTAATTAAATTAAAATTTAAAAAACCCTTTCCTCAGCTCCCATGTGGTTTGTGGCTACCACATCGAATAGCCCAGATATAGAACATTTTCTATTATTAAAGAAAGTTCTGTTGGACAGCATTATTTTAGAGCCTCCCTTTCACACCTCCCTGGTGTTTGATCTATCTTCTCTAAGGAGATGTCTGCAACAAGGTGACAATTACTCTATCAGGTTGTCTTTCTTTCAGTGCCTACTTTGTACCAAACAGAGTGTTAAGAGAGTACTTTATATATATAAGAAAAAATATATATAGAAGTATATATAAAAGTATATTACATTATATATATATATACACATTATATATATATACATATATACTATACATGCACGTATTATACACACATATCTATACATCTAGTTTTATTTGTTCCTCACAGGATTAAACCATCAGCCAGTTTAAGGAGGCCAGTTTATAATATCACTGTAGTAAACCAGAAATTTGATGCCTGTTGGCTCAGGTTTCCATACTCAACTCTTTAATCAACAGGCAAAATGTAAATTGGTCCCAATCCCATCAGATCATGGAGACCTCTGGTGCAAATAAAAGACAATTCATGCCAGTATGGATCTACATCTTTTCAGAATCTAGAGGGCTTACAAGTTCAAGTACCATGGGGCATGAGCCTGAGAACTAGACAGCCAGAGGACATTCAAAACTGGAGCCAAACAATACATGCGTATAGTGTTCTTTACTTTTAAAAAAGATCAATTCATCCTTTATCATCTAAATTATAGAACTTACAATATGTCCCCCAGAAATGGTCTGCTTTCAAGAAATAACATACGATAACATGCTGTTGGGAAGCACACAGACACGCAACAGAGACAAACTAGATGGGAAATGTTTGCAAGTATAGAAAACAGAAAACAAAGACCTTTAAAATGTATTTTGAGTGATACTTAACAAATATGCCCATGTAAATTAGCCGACTGCTTGGTGCCTGAGAGTAACCGTTGGAGTTTTAAGTGATGAAAAAGATGCAAAGTGAAAGGCAATTGCAAATAACTTACTGTAAGAAATCCCTCACTCTGAACATTTAAAAACAGTGAACATTTCATTTTTTCAATAGAAAATCAGTTTCTCTTCACTCCTGCTAACAATTAGTAAACAGATATGTAAAGAATATTGACTCTAAGCAAAGTCACCAAATTGATACCTGTGGTGCCTTCATGTCTTGGCTTAGCACTATAGGTAAAAATTTTTTTTAAAGATTTTATTTATTTATTCATAAGAGACACAGAGAGAAAGGCAGAGACATAGGCTGAGGGAGAAGCAGGCTCCCTGAGGGGAGCCCAATAAGCCAAAGGCAGAAGAAGCTCAACCACTGAGCCACCTAGGTGCCCCTGTATCCATGAAATTTTTGACACAAGATCGGCTTAGTTTTTGATTCAGAATATTCTTTTATCTTACCAAATTCATTTTAAAGATGGTACTTCAATCCATGGGATAGTTCTAGAACTGTTTTTATTTATTTAAAACTCTACATATATTTTCATTTTATATGCTTTAATAAAGTTCTTCATCCATTAAAAAACCTAAAGCAAGGGTCAGCAAACTTTTTCTGTAAAAGATCAGTTAGTAAATATTTTAGGATTTGAGGGCCATATGGTCTCTGTCATAACTACTCAAGTCTGCCATTGCAGTGTGAAAGCAGCTCTAGAACATACATAAACAAATAAGCCTGGCTATATTCCAATAAAACTTTGTGCACTCTGAAATGTAAAATTTATATATAGTTTTTTCTGCCACGAAATATTCTTCTTTTGATTTTCTTGAGCTACTTGTGAATATAAAACTACTCTTAGCTCATGGTTCTGTGTAAAAATACATGGTAGGCTGGATTTGGCTTCTGGTTCATGGTTTGCTAACCCCTCATCCAGAATATGAAATCAAAGCCTAGAGAAATGAAGAAACTTGTTTAAGAACAGAGAAGAGCTGAGGACTATGCTATATTTTTTCTGCTTACTCAGCTTAATGGGTTGTATCTTATCAAGAAATAAAAATTCATCATGAAAAAAAATTCATCATGATAAGATGATGATCTTCTAGCTACTAAAAGATAATTTAATTATATGCAACGGAAGGCCATATTAAGACCATTAGCCAAGACTGCTCTGCAACATTTTTAACAAAAGCAAAGTCAGAATGTTTGCCATTATTACTTTTTTGCGTTTGCGTTATCTATAATGGCAAAAACACAATGCACTCTATTAATAATGTTTCCTTCCCTCTGCCAAAAAACTATATACTCTTATTGTAATGTAAACTGCAAATATTATGCTAAAGGGCAAAAGGAAGCGGAGAGAAATAGGTTAAAATTTTAAACTACGGCAATTTGTTCTCCCAATCTGGAATTAGTGGATTTAAAGGAAACTTCTGCTTTTTTTTTTTTTCAAGATTTTATCCTCTCATTAATGAGAGACACAGAGAGAGGCAGAGACATAGGCAGAGGGAAAAGCAAGCTCCCTGCGGGGAGCCCAGTGTGGAACTCAATCCCCAGACCATGGGATCATGCCCTGAGTTGAAGGCAGACACTCAACCGCTGAGCCACCCAGGCGTCCCAGGAAACTTCTGCTTTAATCTTGTCCATTAATGGTTAATTTATGTATAATTCCTATATAATTAACAGATCATTACTTTGAAGATGTGCTTATTGGGCTATTCTCTTACATCATTCAATATTTATTGAAGGTTTACCATGTACCGGACACTAGGTGAAGCTCTGAGTATATAGTAATATACAAATTCTCTTCTATCCTCTTTTAGAGGAATGTACAGTATAAGGTTCTTCCCATTGACAAACTTTAGTGCCAGTCCACTACCATCATGTTCTTTATATGACAATCAACAAAATGAGTAAAAGCACTAATAAGTTATCTGATTAGTTCATTTTTTATTCTAATGTGCTTTGAAACATAAGGAACCACTTTTTTTGTTCATCCATAAGAAGCAACTCCTCAGTGGTTAGTTTTATCATGAGATTGTAGTAATTTAATCACATCTTCTGGCAGCACTTCTAACTCTAGTTCTCTTGCTGTTTCTACCAAATTTGCAGTTACTTCCTCCACTCAAGTCTTGAACTTCTCAAAGTCATCCATGAGGGTTGGAGTCAAATTCTTTCAAATTGCTGTTAACGTTGATATTTTGACTCTTCCCATGAATCACAAATGTTCTTAATGGCATTGAGAATGGTGAATCCTTTCCAGAAGGTTTTCAAATGTATTTTGTGCAGATCCATCAGAGGACTCACTAAGGCCGCTATAGCCTTACAAAATGTATTTTTAAGTAATAAGACTTGAAAGTCAGAATGACTCCTTTCTTGACCCATGGGCTGCACAATGGATGTTGTGTTAGCAAGCATGAAAACAACATTAGTCTTATACATCTCCATCAGAGCTCTTGGCTGACCAGGTACACCGTCTGTGAGCAGCCATTTTGAAAGACTTTTTTTTTTTTTTCCTGAGTGGTCAGCCTCAATGGTGGTCTTAAAATATTCAGTAAATCATGCTGTAAACAGATGTTCTGTCATCTAGGCTTTGTTTTATGGAGCACAGACATAGTATACTTCTTAAGGACCCTAGGATTTTCAGAAGGGTAAATGAGCATTGGCTTCAACTCAAAGTCACCAGTTGGATCAGTTCTTAACAAGAGAGTCAGCCTGTCCTTTGAAGCTTTGAAGCCAAACGTTGACTTCTCTCTAGCTATGAAAGGACTAGATGGTATCTTCTTCCAGTAGAAGGCTGTTTAGTCTACATTGAAAAACTATTGTTTAGGGAACCCTGGGTGGCGCAGCGGTTTAGCGCCTGCCTTTGGCCCAGGGCGCGATCCTGGAGACCCGGGATCGAGTCCCACGTCAGGCTCCCGGTGCATGGAGCCTGCTTCTCCCACTGCCTGTGTCTCTGCCTCTCTCTCTCTCTCTCTGTGTGACTATCATAAATAAATAAAAATTAAAAAAAAAAAAAAAGAAAAACTATTGTTTAGTGCAGCTACCTTCATCCACTATCTTAGCTAGGTCTCCTAGACAACTTGCTGGAGCTTCTACATCAGCACTTGCTGCCTCACCTTGCCCTTTTATCTTAAAGCTTCTTTCTTTAAATCTCACAGATCAACCTCTGTTAGCTTCAGATTTTCTCCTGCAGCTTCCTTCCCTCTCTCAGCCCTCACAGAATTTAAGAGAGTTAGGGCCTTGCTCTGGATAGGGGAATGTGGTGGCTGGTTTGATCTTCTCCCCATACCAATAAAATTTTCTCCATATTAGCAATAAGGCTATTTTACTTTCTTATCATTT